CTGGCATTGGTGGTTCAGTGGTAGAATTCTCGCCTGCCACGCGGGAGGCCCGGGTTCGATTCCCGGCCAATGCAACAGCTGTATCTTTTTGCACCCTGGCGTCCTTTGGCAGTTGCCTGGGTGCCCGTGGAAKAGCACACAGGTGCTCCCGTGATCATGGCTGTCCCCTCGGGGCCGACACTGTCGTTTGTATGGGTGCCCAGGCCCCGAGGGTGGCAGCGGCAGCTCTGCCCGCAGTGAGTGCCMGCGGCTTGGTGGCCTCTCTAAGAGGAGATGGTTTGGTGCCTGAGCATCTCGGCTGGGTGGAAGGGAGGGACACTGGCTCAGTGACAATGAGGGGTGCCATGTCGGTGGCAGTGAGGATCCCTGGCTTAGGAGCAGTGGCAGGTTCCTGTCAAGGATGCCCAGGCCATGGAGATGGGCAGCAGCTGTGGGCAGTCCCACGTCTGGCATATCTGGTTCAGAGGGACAATTAATGTGCTCCCTTTCAAGGGCCAGGGATTGGCTCCTGGCCAGTGCAGCCTGATGTCCTGCCTTTCACCTCTGCAGCCCCCAGCCCCTCTACCTGATCTGGGCTCCATGCAGCCGTGGGTTGCTTGTGGCTGGGAGATGCTGCTGCACCCCAAGGCAGCGATGTTTGGGTGCTGGGTGTGGGTGGCCTGTCACAGCTGGGTCACTTGTGACCCCGAAGTGTGACTGGGTTGTTGTGTGCCACGGGACAGGTTGTGCAGCCCCTCTGAAAAGAGAGTGAGCTTTGCTCAGGTATCTCATGCAAGGGTTAATTGTGAAGGCTGATTACAAGCCCTCCTTGTTGGTGATGTGGGGCAGCAGAAGAGGCACTGTCATGGTCTGGAGGCGCGGTGTCAGAGCGCTGTGTTGGGGTCCCCTTCACGTGTCTGTGTGTGCGGTGTTCACAGCCAGCTGTGCCCGCCCATGATGCTCCCACTCTGCTGGGTTTGGGAGGGTGGGGCAGTGACAAGGACACCCCACATCTGGCATTGGTGGTTCAGTGGTAGAATTCTCGCCTGCCACGCGGGAGGCCCGGGTTCGATTCCCGGCCAATGCAACAGTTGCATTTTTTTTTGCACCCCAATGTCTCTGGGGGGACTGCCCGGGGTGTCTGGAGTGATTACACACACTCATCATCTCTCCACCTGTGCGGATGCGAGGGGTGTCATTGTCACTGGAACAAAGCCAGGGCGCATTGGTGACTCGCGGAGGGATTTAGTGGCAGAGAGGGACCCTGACTAGGGACGGTGACTGTCCATGGCTCAGTGACAGTGAGGGYTCCTGGTTTGGCGGCAGTGACAAGGGTCTTTGTCTCGGAGGCAGTGAGGACCCCTGGCCCAGAGCAATGGGGGCTCCATGGGGCTGGGAGGTGCCCGCACATCTAAGACACAGCTGTTTGGGTGCTGGATGTGGGTGGCATGTCACGGTTTGGTCACCARTGTGACCCYGAACAGGGTTGTCCAGTGCCACRGGACAGGTTGTGCAGTCCCTGTGAGGAGAKAWCGAGCTTTGCTSAGSTRTCTCATGCGAGGGTTAATTSTGAAGGCTGATTRCAAGCCCTCCGCGCTGTGGGCGATGTGGGGCAGCAGAAGAGGCGCTGTCAGGGCTGGACGCGCGGTGTCAGAGCGCTGCGTTGTGGCGCCGTGCGAGGGAGTCGGGAGCTGACAGCGCCTGTCCCTGCTGGTCCCGGCGCTGGGTTTGGGAGTGTGGGGGAGGGCCGGGAGGTGCTGCACATCTGGCATTGGTGGTTCAGTGGTAGAATTCTCGCCTGCCACGCGGGAGGCCCGGGTTCGATTCCCGGCCAATGCAACAGCTGTATGTTTTTGCACCTTGGGGGACCGTGGTGGCATCCTGGTGAACTGTCCCCGCAGACAGATGTGGAAGCGGTGGTGGCCGACCTGGTGAAGCTGATCCACAGCGCGGGCGCTGAGAGCCGGAGCAAGGCTGTGCGCCCCAAGGCACTGCTGGACAACTGCCTCAAGGTCATGCGGATGCTGTACGGGGTGCCCTGTGAGTTGGGGATCGGGGTGGGGGGCCCGACCTTGGGGAATGCAGGTGCCACACAGAGGGCCCTGTCCCACCCCATGGCACCTGTTCCCTCTGTTCAGGTCGGTGGGAGTCCACCTAATGCTTCGACCCCTCACTTGACACCTCCTTGTCCTGGAACTTTGGATGCTGCCTCTGCTCTGCTCCTCCCAGAGTCCCATGGGGTGTTCTCAAGGAAGATGCAAAGGTGGGACAAACGCCAGCCCTTCTGGGACCAAACACGACCCCTTCCAGGACCGTGGGACTGTTTATGGCCATGGCATCCAAAACGTCTAGCACCTTCTGCATGGGTGTGGGGTTGGACACTGCYCGGTGGCAAACACCTGTTGTGGGGACACGCAGCCCTCCCTGTCCATGGGGCAGGTGAGGGCATCACCCTGTTTCTCTTGATTTGTATTTTTCCCTCAGCTTTCATTAAACACCAGTTAATTCTCTAGCATTGCAGCTCAGCTTCTGACTGGGTCCCGGGAGCCTCCAGCCTTACCCAAAATAAAGGACCAGCAAAGAGAACCCCACTGCCTCCACTGYCTCCTCTTTTGGGGTGTCAGCCCCCTCTCTCGCTGCTGGGGACAGACTCACCCTGACACAGGGACCYTTGCCAAGATGCCTCCATCATCCCTGGCTGCTTGTCCAGCAAGGAAACATCTGGATTTGTTTGTTGTGCTTGGCGGAGCGGTGTGGGCGGCACGCCGGGGGGACGGGGGCTGCCTGGCTGCCTCTCTCCTTTACAGCTCAGTTAATTACCTTCATCAGCTGTTAGAGACCTTAATGGAGTGCTCCTGGCTGAGGGCTGTTTTGGCTCTGTGGGGTCTGTGGCACTGCAGTGCGAGCGGAGGCAATGTCTCCCTCCTCCTCCTCCTCCCTTCATGCCTACTGATGATTCCTGTTTATACAAAGCCCACTCAGAGCTCATATAAAACCCACCAGCGATGAGCCACGGCTTGACGAAGAGCTTTAACTGGAGAGACTCTCTTTCCCATCCCTGCTGGCTTTAACAGAACCCCTGTGTGGTTCACAGACACACCTGGGGCTGCCTCAGCCCTCAGGGTTGAGCCCCAACCTCCTGCTCCCTCACATCAAGCATGGGAATCATCCTCCATCCTCCTCCGCTGTGGGAAAACGGCAGCTGTCCCTGCAAAATGACCCCTGCCAAGCTTCCCAGAGCATCCCCACAGCAATGGGCTTGCCAAAACCCTGCGTGTCCAGCCCACTTGACATAATGTGCATTTTCTTCTGATCCCTCTTTTGAGAGACGGCTTAAAAATAGTCAGCTGAGAGGCTCTACAGGAATGCACTCACAGGATGGGGAGTGGGAGCCTGTTTGCAATATCTCCAGGTGTGCCATGAAGGATGGGGTCAGGGAGGGTCAGCCCAGAACACCATGCCTGGGGCTCAAATCTTMAGGCATGTGCTGAGACTTGGGAGATCTCCTGCTGTGAAACCTCCCAGCTGCTGGAATAGGAAGAGCCTTTGCTGGCCTTGAAACAGCAGGAAAAAAGCCTGGCAGTATGGACATGGACTAGCCAGCTGGTTTAGGGGTGAGGAGGCTCAGCAGGACAAGGGCTGAGTTTGGGAGTTGTCTGGGATGTCCCCATAAGCAGAATGAGTAGAGTGAGGATGCCCAGGGGGTTCCCTTGGCCCCAGGGGATTTCTTGGATTCAGGACCACACTTGGACCCTCTTCTGCCCTGGCCCAACTCAGCATCCCAGGCCGGGGGGGGGCAGCAAACCCAACTGTCACCCCTCAACCCCGTGTGTCCCTGTTTCTCCTCCCCCTTCCCCCTCCACACCTCCCCCCACAAATCAGAGTGAGCCTGGAAATGGCCAATTCATTCACTTTAATTAATTATTAAGCTCATTAATTATTAATTAATTATTTAAGCTCAGAGGGCAGGTGCTTCTCTCACCAGGGCAGCCTCTGCCCTCTCCAGTCCCAGAAGGTGCCGTTGCTGGTGGCWGACAGCTGGGCCAGCAGCTGCAGGACGCCCTGAACGCTCTCCTCCACGGTCACCGGGCCCTGAGCACCCAAGGGTGGGGGAAAAGTGAGCCAGGATTCTCCATCCCAACAGCCCCATTCCCATCCCATGGTGTGGTGGAATGCCAGATCCAGCTGGGATGGTTTGGGAGCCACTGGAGATGCTCTAGCAGCCAAGGGATGCAGCTTTGCAAAAATTGATTATCCCTTATCTGGGTGCCATAAGGATGGAGGTTAATTTTTTCATTCCTAATTAAAAAGTGACTTGTTTGTCAGCCAGAGCAGGGTAAGGGACAGCTGAGTGCAGGGCCGGGGTGCCCTCTGCTGACACACCATCGSGATGGGAAAGGAAAGTAAAAACAGGGAAGAAATTGGGTGGTTTTGGGGGAGAGACTGGAATTGTCCCTTTGCTGTGGTGGCACAGCCATCGTGGGACCGAGGGACTGCACAGATGTGGGTGCCAGGGAAGGGATGCCCCAGGAGGGGGTGTTCAAGGGAAAGGATATCCAAGGGAAGAAATGCCCTAGGAAGGGGTGCCCATGGGAAGGGATGCCTTTGGAAAAGGATGTTCAGGGAAAGCGATGACCCCGAGAAAGGATGTTCATGGGAAGGGCTGGCCTTGGGAAGGGGTGTTCCTGGGAAGGGATGCCCCCAGGAATGGATGCCCGTGGGGCCTTGCTGAGCTCGCTGATGCACCTGCCATCACTCACCATCCCCTGTTCCAAGGGAGGTGTCACACATCCGGGGTCCACGGACACGCAGAGGATCCCGCTGCTCCCGTACTCCAGGGCCAGGCACTTGGTGAGCATGTTCAGAGCAGCCTGGGAGGACAAATCCCTCCCCTTTACCAYCATGATCTGGCAATGCCACGGCCAGCGGTGGGGGAATCCAGAGGAGCTGACACCCAAATTCCTCCCCCTCGTTCCGGCAGTGGTACCTTGCTGCAGCGGTAGCAGAGATCCTGCCTCTGCTCCCAAGCCTGCGCCACCTCGATGGAGCCCAGGATGCTGGAGATGTTGATGATGGCAGCTCTGCTGCAGCTCATCTCACGCTGTCYCTCAGCCTCAGCCGCCTCCTTCAGCAGGGGCAGGAAGGCCTGCAGGGGACGGGAGCTCAGCCATCACCATCCTCTTCCTCCCCATTGCAGCGTTTGGGGCGGGGSTTGCTGTGTCCTCACCTGGCTGGTCTGCAGGGGCCCGATGGTGTTGGTGGTGTAGACCAGGCTCATGTTCTCTGCTGTCTCGGTGGCCAAGGTGCTGCGGCGCGTGGTGCCCGYGTTGTTGATCAGGAGGTTGAGGCCRGCRCTTCCCACCTGCTCCTGCACCTTCCTGACTGCTGCCTTGATGCTGTTGGGGTCTGTCACATCTGCAAGGGGACAGAATACCTTGGGGACAGGCTGGTGGCCACCACCCTGGCAAGATGCTGTAGGACATGGCAGGAGGCAACTCCCAGKCGCTGAGCATCCTCCTGGTCCCATGGGTGACCTGGTTGAGCTGAGTCAAAGTGAGGAACCTGCCTGCTTGGTGGCATTTTCTGGAGCCACCCACGGTTGTAATTAAATCCTGAGAAGCTTCTTCCCCTTTCCGCCCCAGCACTTACCGAGAGGCAGGATCACGACGTTGGGAAAGCCCAGAGCCACCTCATTGACAGCCTATGTGGGGAAAGGGAGGGAGGGGGTCATGTGGGGAGGCTCCCCAGGGTGGCCCCGCGTGTCACAGCCGACACGTTACAAGAGAGAGCAATTTGGGGCGAGTCACTGCTCCTCTGAGCCCGGCAGCTTCAAAGCTCCCAGCAGCAAAGCCCCCAGCGACCCCCCCTGCACTCCCCTTCATGCACACACCTGTGCCAGGAGATGCAAAAAACATTAAATACATATATATATAATACATATGTCGGTATTTTTAATATTTAATACATGCACATGTATTTTTTATATCCATTTCCATATATAGCTATATCCATATGTGCGTGTATTTTTCCATGCCGCTCATCGTGCAGGGTGTTGGCACTCATCCTCCCAGTTCCAGGTGGGATGGTGGCATCCCCAGGCACCCATCCCAGAGCTGACTCCCTCCTTCCCCCCCTGCCCCCCGTGCCCTCCCTACCTTGCCCTGGGGGTCCAGGCAAGCAGCGAAGAGGTGCCGGGGTGGGCTGGGTTGCTCCAGCAGCCCCTTCAGCAGCCCCAGGCCCAGTCCCCCATCGCAGCCGGTCAGCAGGACGCTGCCCACACGGAGCCCCTCCATCCCCAGCTCTCCACAGCCGGTTGTGCCGCCCCAGCAAGGTTTGGCAATCGGCCTCGATAATCCGGGAGGTGGCACCGCTGCGGGTGCTGCTGGGATGGGTGGAGACGGGGGGCACCACCTGCACCTCCTCTTCTGGAGGGGATGGATGGGGCAGCAGGATGCTCTTGTGCATCCCAGGGTCACCCATCACCTCACCGTGGGGCTGTCTCACTCCTCCATACCCCAAAATACCACCCCACTCCTGCCATGGGAACCCCAAAGATGTGATGGGACCTTCCCACCTGTCCCCATTACTGGGACAACCCCAGGGGAGCAGAACATCCACAGCAGCGCAGGCAAGGCTATTAATTACAGTACAACCTTTATTAATACTGGAATCTTCACAGTGCATTCGTTACTTGTAGCAGTGACTATGGAAAACGGGGGAGGGGGTAAAGAGGGAAATTACCACCAGAAAAAAATAAAATAGAAGGAAAATAAAAAGAAAAGAGGGAATGAAAGAAAGAGAAAGAAACTTGGCAGAGGGACGGGGAGAGAGGGAAGCGGCGGCGAAGGCAGGAACACGAAGGGGGAAAATAAATTAAAAAAAAAAAGAGAGTAAGGACCAAGTTAACAACAGCACCAGAAAAGTTACTTCAGTCGAAGGACAGGTCAGTTTTTTTCTTTACCAAGGAATTTTTGTTTTCTGTACAAAATAAGAGACCCCCCCCCCTCCCTCAAACCCAAACATTTGTCACTTGGCATCAGCGGTTCTGGGCAGGAGAAGGGGAAAGGGRAGAACTAAATTGTTATTCCTAAGGGGGAGGGCTGAGGGGGCTGCGATGCGACAGACAGCRGGGCGGGGGGCTATGTACAGCRGGGGGSCGGGGGTTGTGCTTTCCTCCAGCTGCTCTGCTTGGGGGGTCTGAGCCAAACCTCCCATGCCCAGACCCTGCACAGGCTCTGTGGGTGCTCAGGGAGAGGGAGGGGGTTTGTGGGGAGTCCCCAGTGATCCTTGTGAGGGGGGCAAAGAGGAGGTTCAGCATCCTCAGCCCCTGCACCCTGGTGTCCCCCCAGGACAGAAGGGACAGCAGCGTCTCTACCCCAGCCCCACATCCTCTCACACGTCCCCCGCTTCTTCTTCCCCCCCTGCACCCCCAGCCCGTTGCTTCTGCCCCCTGAAATGAGGCTGAGCCGTGCTGGCCCMAAGCAGGCAGCTAGGGGGGATTGGGCCAGGACCCCCAAATCCTGGTGCTCCGTGGCTGCTGGCACCGTCCTCTCCTGCTGCGGCTGGGGCCACCCGCCTGCACCCGGGACAGAGAAAAGAGACAGGAGAGGGGAAGCAAGAGGGGAAAAGAGAAACAATGGGAGAGAGGGGAAGAAAGGAGAAAACAGAGAATAGAAGGGAAGAGAAAAAGAGTTAAAAAGAAAGGAAAAGAAGAGAAGAAAAATGGGAAAACAAAGAAGAAAATAAGAAAGAAGGAAAAATGACAGTAAGAGAAGAATTAAAATATTCAAAAGAATAAAGAAATAATATAACAGGAGAAAGAAGATGAGGAAAGGAGAAAAAGAGGAGAAAGAGGGCCAAAGAGAGGGCAAGTGAAGGAGGGATGTAGGGAGAGGGCAGGGCAGGAGGAGGCAGAGGGGCGGGAAGCAGGGGGCACCGGGGAGGRACGGGGCAGCGGGTGCCGGTGGGTGGGGGTCCCGGGGGGCGCAGCGGTTGTCCCCGGGGTCCATCGTCCCCGCTGGCCGGGGCTCATCACGATATCCGCGGGGCCGACCTGTCATTGGTGACGGTCCTGCGCAGCCGCACCCCGCGCCGGATGGCCACCAGCATGTCTTCGGCCGGGGGGTCCATGGAGGCCGCGGGGGGCGGCGCGGGGGTCTCCTCGCTGGGGCYGGACCCCGCGAGGGCGGTGGGGAAGGGGAACTGCCCTTCCCCCAGGGCGTGGGCGCCGGCCACCAGCTCCCCAATCTTCTCCACCAAACTGTGCCGGTTTGCAGCCAGCTGCTGGTCCTCCTCTTCCTCAGCGGAGAGGTGCTGGCCGGCCCCGGGGTAGACGGAGATCTCCATGGCACCGCCACCCCAGGCAGTGTTGGGAAGGCTCAGCCGCTTGGGCGAAGCTTTGGCAAAATCCAGGGGGTTCGGAGAGGCGTCGTCGGCGTAGAAGACGCACTCTTCGCTGCCCACCCGCGTGGGGCCGGCGTAGCCAGGGGAGTCGGGCACMGTGGGGGTCTTCACGGGGACGATGGGGGGTCGGATGGGGATGGGGCCAGCGTTGGAGAGCGTACGGCGGACCGAGGGCTTGGTGGAGGGCGTGCGGCGGATGGTGGCCACCCCCGGGGTGGTGCCGGCCGGGAGGTTGGTGCCGGTGGGCAGCCCGGCGGTGGAGGCGGGACGCTTGGTCTGGATCATCCGCCGGTAGTTCTGCGCGATGTTGCTGTTGCGCGGGATGGTGGAGGACTTGTCGAAGTCGCTCTGGGGGTCACACTCCACGTCACCGTTCACYGAGTAGCAGTCGTAGTCGGAGCCTGCGAGAGGCGGCACCGTCAGCGTGGTTGGGAGGGCGCTGGGTGGCCAAGCCCAACCATGCCATCAAAGCCAGCCCCAACCACCTCCATCACAGCACAACAACCACCAAACTCAGCTGCCAGGATCRTGACACAACCACAACTGTCCCATTGCTGGCAAAACTTGCCCACCATCAAACCCAAACATCACCACTGGAAGGCAACCACAAGCACCCCAACCATCACACYGAAATCACAACCAAACGCAGCTGTCACCATCACAACCACCACAGCCACAGCCAGCCCAGCATGATCACAGCCAATCTCCACTGTCACCACCACGTTCTCAGAACTGGCTCAGCCATCATCATGCCAGCACGATGACAAATGTGGTTATTTGATCTCCAACTACCAACTCTGCTGCCATCACCTACCATCTGCCACCATCTCCACCTGTGCTCAACCTCTGTGCACAGACACATCACSACGAGCCATCCCCTGTTACGGCACTTCCTGGCACAGCTGCAGCCACTGAGCCCCAACCAAATAACCAGGAAAAGCTGTGGTTATGTGTGTATCACCACCAGCTTCTACACGATATGACCACAGCCCRTTGTTATGACACCCAGAGCATACAGATGTGCCCCAGGACCACTAAAGCCTCTGCTGTCCCCTTCCCCACTCTAAGCTTCATTTCAGACAGTCTCAGGTACCCCTGGGGCCGGTACCTTGGGAAGGGATGGTGTCCTCAGAGCAGGAGGGGGTGGTGGTCTGTGTGCTGTAGCCACTGGAGTAYTGCAGGGAGTCCCGGCTGCTCTTCTGGTGCTCCAAGCTCAGACCCCGGGTCAAGACCATGGCCAGGTCACTGGCGGCAGGGGACACCTCCTCCCCATGCTGTGGGGGCAAGGGGCACTGTCAGCACCCTGGTTCCTCTCTTGGGAACCCCCAAGACCCCCCACCCCTGCGCCCTCTCCGCCGCGGGTGGTACCTTGGCGGCGATGGTGGCTGGTGACATGCGGGGCCGGGGTGCATCCTCGCCGCCCATGCCCGGGTAGCCAGCAGCAGGAGAGCCCATCTCGGCYTCCCGCAGGTGCTCCACGCGGTCCTTGCGCCGCTGCAGGGTGGGGACCACCGGCTGGTCATAGGGGCTGGCCTTGGACCAGTCCTGCAATGGGCAGGCATGAGATTCATGCTGGTGACACCGGGACCAGGAATGGGGCACAAGGGGTCTCAAGCTGATGTCCCCCATGTCACCACGGTACTGCTCAGGATGCTCTGCCCCATGCAGGGAGGGAGGGGAGGAGCTGGGGCTGAACCCCATGAGGTGAGGGGGGAACCGCATGTGAAATCAACCCTGGAGGGATGGCAAGGACTAACCGAGGTGGGGGAGCTGCACTCGCTAACTGACTGGCAGGTTTCGGAGGCCTCTGAGGACGCTGAGCTGGAGGACTTCTGCTGTGCCGTGCCGAGCCGAGAGCCAGAGGGGGAGAGAAGAGGCAGTTAGCAAGCAAAGCCAGAGCCACGAACCCAGTTAGAGCAGCACCCACAGCTCCCCTGGCTGAGCGAGGTTCCCTGCCCTCCTCCCCTCTGGCAGCAGACGCAGGATGGCGAGCAGGATGCGGCCTTGGCAGCAGGGTCAAGAGCTGGGATGATGTGCCACCCTAACCCTTCGCCCTTCTCACCCCAAGCATGCAGAGCAAACAGGTATTTTGGGGAGTTACTGGGTTCGTGATGCCAGGTTAGCATGGGCAGGTGGGAAGGGGGCATCCTTGGCACGAGGGATGGTGCAGCATTTGCTCCATAACGCCTGGTGGGCCACGCACAAACTGGGTGTTACGGGGCTGAAGTGATTGGGAAACACCCTGTTCTCYTGGCACGGGGAGAGGGATACCTATGCCACATCCCTGAGGGAATTTATGGATGGGGTTTCTCTGCTGCGTGGCCCATGATGCCCCTGAGTACGACAGGAACCCTCAATATTCCCAATACTCATTTCCCATGATGCCAGCACAGCTGGAAATATTCCCGAGGGTGGATCTCATCACTGAAACACTCCAGAAAGTGGGTTTCACCACTGAAACACTCCAGAGGGTGGATCTCATCACTGAAATACTCCAGAGGGTGGATCCCATCACTGAAACACTCCCGAGGGTGGGTCTCATCACCTCTGCACTGGACCCCTGTGTCACACCCAGCACCACCCACCCACTCTACTGAAGAGGAAACCGAGGCACGGAGGTGGGCAGCACTGACACCCTCCCCCTACCTGGCTGGTGATGTCCGAGGGCATGGGGGAAGGCGGTTTGGAATAAGCRGCGTCCTGGGAGATGAAGCCGGAGTCGTGGGAGGAGACGCTGGAGAGGCGGGTGGCGGCGGCGGGGGGCTGCGCCAGGCTGCGGTAGCGATAGGTGGAACTGGGTGAGCAGGTCTGAGCCCCGCCGGGCCACGCCATGCCACCCTTGGCACTGCTAACGCTGCTGGGGGGGCGCCGGGGGGACGGGGACACGCCGGTGGCGAGGACAAAGGAAGGAAAAGAGAATTTAAGACGGAGGTTCGGAGGCGGCAGGAT